ATGTCTCTGCTGCAAGAACAAGAATCCTAAAGGAGCACCTAGTAGTATACCAGACATCAGGCTAATTTACATGACAAAATCCCACGAATTAGTCCATTTAATATTTCAACAGTCCAGGGTACCCTTTTTACATTTCAGATGTGGAAACTGAGGCTTGGGGAGCTTCTGAAGTAAGTCATCCAAGGTTATATAAAAGATAAGTCCTAGAAGCTGAATCCAAACTCACAAAACCTTAGCTCTTGGTGACTGTGTGATATTGCCTCCCATCCCATGGCAGACGAATGTCAAGAAACTCAGAGGCTGAGAGGAAAGCCAGAGGTTGGATTAAAGTGGCTTTATATGTCAGGAAGAGGAGTTTGGATCTTTTTGTGAAAGGTCATTGTCAGATGATCAAAGGCATTCTGGGAACTTCTGCTAATTTCCTCATCCATAGAATAAAGACTTGGACCACATAAATCTCTCAACTGCTTTTCCTTCTGAAATGCTATATTGTTGCAGTTTGTATCATTCCTTTTCTTACAGCCTCCTGGTGGCTCCGCTATGTAATTGGTATAAAATCATTCCTGGTATCTCGGTCTGCAAGGCTTTGCAGCCTGTAGCCCCTGCTTGCTTCCGCCTACACCTACTTGTCTCTTCTTCATTCACAACGCTCCAGGCACAAACTTTTCTGTTCTAGAAATGTCTTCAATCAGGGCCTCTACACTTACTGTTTCCTCTGCCGGAAATGTCTTTCCTTAGATCTTTCCTGAAATGGCACTTCCTTCCCCAGAGTTCCCATAACCACTGACTGTGTCTACAGTAACATCTCCCTTTCATAATTTTCTACCCATCCTGCTTTATTTTCTTTGTAGTAATTACCACTGTTGGAAATTAACTTTTTTGTTGCTTATTTATTTATTGTATACTACCCCCATCCATCCCTATGTAAGCTCCACTAGGGCAAGGATCCTATTGATCTGGTTCATGGCTATACCCCCTGGGCTGATGCCTGGCACATTATAGTACTTCACAGATTTGTTGAATGAATGAATGGATAGATGACTAAAGCTTTTACAGCTTATGTAGTACCTAAAAATGTTAAGCACGTAACTGGAGCTCAGAAATGTATAATAGTAATAATGATAACCAACATTTATCAATCTCTAATTATTGGCACTGTGCTAAATCCTTTATATGAATTATCTCCTATAGTCTTCACCACACCTTTATGAGGTAGACATTATTAATATCCTAGCTTTACACATGAGGAAACGGAATCTCTGCAAGACCAAGCAATTGGCCCGAGGTCAGAGGACTAGTGAATTAGCCCAGATTCAAAAGCAAGTATAATTTCAGCACAACATTATTCGTTAAGTGACCGATTTCTGCAAAGAGAAACTGAAATTACCTCCATTTGGATTAATGACTACATAATTTCAAAGAGAATTCTTGGGTAGTTACTACTTGTGTCCTGGGGCTCAGGTTACAAAAACGTGGTAGGTACCTAGGATCCAGAAGTGAATAATGGGATACAGTTCCCAACCTCAGGGCGCTCAGTTTAATTTAAAAAAAAAAAAAAAATGCAAGTGTGCTAGCGTGGACGTCTCCATGACCTAAGCACTCTTCCAACCCCCCAACAAAAACACTTGTATCTCTGGAAGATCATTCTCCTTAGTTATTCCCTTGAACCTTGCCCAGGTATTTAATTCTACATTCATTACATTATATTCTAACAGTTTAGCACTGTCTGGGAGGAACTGAATAGCCACCAGTTAGTTACTGAATGCCTTCATGTAGCAGGTAATTTATAGTAGTCACTAACTGAATGCTCACAACAACTCTGAGCTGGGTGGGTGTCATCATTTCTGCTTTACAAATGAGCAGCCAACAGCTCATTGGGGTGGTGGATTACAACTTGGTGATTACGATACAGTGTCCGATTAGAATGCTGTGTCACAAATAGTAAGATAGAGGGATGTGTGTGTAAAGACCTATAAGAGCCCCAAGAAGGGAGTGGCTCTTAGCCTCCATATTCACTTTGATACTATAATTGTAACAAACATGAGACTATCTGGCTCTTTATTATCTTATTGGTTTTATGGTTAAACATTAATAAAGCATATCTCACTTTGTTAGAATATATTAACAATATCTTTACTTTTGGAGGGAAAAGCACTTTTCCATTTTATTTTATATGTTTACCAAGATTAATATATTAGAAGCTTTTTTATTATAATAATTAGAATGCAGACTTAAAGATTTTTGTATTATATTTTCCTGATATACAGCCTGCCATTTTTTTTTTTCCTCCTGGGGTGGAAAAAAAGCACCTTTATTCAAGTACTATACGGTTTACTTAGAAGTATTCTTAAATGAACCAGTCCTTCCCTCTAGTAGAAACGTGGGTGTATAAGATAATTATTAATTTTGTTTTAAAAATCCAGTATTAGTCTTTTTACATGTTACTAAATCACAACTGTCTTCTAAGAATGCTCTCAGTAAAATAAAGTTAGATTCTGAATGATCTACACGAAGGCATAAAGCCATCATCATCATAAAATAAATACAAATAAAGATAGTAAAAAACTGATAGAAATAAATGCTAACACAATCACTGTAACACAAAAAATATTAAAAAACATTTTTTAGATCTCTGCTGAGTATACAAAGGTGAGCCACTTTTTGCCCTGCAGTGAGCGTGACATTCTCCCCAGTAGCAGCTCTGTGGGGAGGGCCTGCTCCATTGAAAATTAGTTCATTCTCTAGAAGTGAAAGAGAAAGGGGAAACTTGAATACTAAGACTCTATTTGGTTAACTGCAATTTGGTGGTGTTTGAAGTTTTGGAGATATTAATAATCAAAATATGCTCCTATTACCTCTGTTAGTAAAGCCACAATCCAGCTTTGCAGAAACTGAGAGGCAAGGATGCCAGCCTATCTAATAGCCTGGATACCTTCACAGAATCTTTAGAACTCACTTTACTCAACTCTCAACTCCTGGTACTTGTCAGTTGTACATCACCAGGGCCTAGAGAAGAGTCTGATAGCAACTGCCAAGCCCTCTCCTTTTGAGTTAAATAAATATCCTGAAATTGTGCAAAGAATCAAAATTATTTCACTGAGCCCCATAAAAGACTATGTAGTTAGAGAGGCACAAATAAAAAGTTTTTCTTAACTACAAACTACATTTTGTGATGGTCCTAGAAACCAAAAATAGTTCATTGTTCCTTTTGCCTAAGAATTCACTGTGACATAATGAAAAGACCTCCCTTCCTCCCAAAACCAGAGGTACACACTTTTCTAGAATCTTAGGACAAAAACAAATAAATCTAAACATGAATCATATTTGTGACTGAAATATATAGTAAATAAAGATTTTGAGATCAACATTACAGAAATTTATACTAATGTTATAATTTATTCCTTTATCTGTAAAAGTAATATGAAGTCAAGGCTGATAGAATTGTATAAAACTGTTTCTGCTTCTTCAATTTTAACTTTAATACAAGCTCTCAAAGATCACAAGACAGAAAATCCTCCTCCCATTTTTGTGGCAAAGTCCCTTGAAGCAAATGACTTCTGTCCCCACCTAAAAACAGTCCTGACTTATCTATTGGGTACAGTAAGGACAGTGTTTCAAGCCCAAAGCACTTTAGGATGTCAATAGAAATGTTTTCTTTTCAAGTCAGAAGGTAAAAAAAAAAAAAAAGTCAAAGAAAATGTTGAAATATATAATGTTAAAATATTAATCTTCATATCAATACAACCATAAATATATGTGTGTATGTATATGAAGAAGGGGGCCCATTTTGCCCCACAAAGTCCTCTCAATTGTTTTTTTTTTTTTTTTGGAATTATTTCTTACGTATCCCAGACGCCAAGTTTCCTTTCTCAGCCAGGGCAAGTTCTCACCCTTTGCAAGAAATACTTTCTTTTACCTAATTTCTCTGAGAAAAGTAATTTGTTTTAGAAGTTTTGGGGAACAAGTTTTAAATTAATATGTATTCAGCGAGGAAGCCTCTCCCCAAAGTTAATTTTTTAAGGAGAAGGAGGAAGGTAGGAGGAGATGAGCACTTCATATGATACCCTGACAGCATGCAAGGAAATGCAATCTCCCATGCTCGCCTCAGTGTGGACTAAGGGCAGAACAGACTCTCGCCCCTCTTGCGCGCTTTATTCCACGGCCGTCCAGCAGGGGGCGCGTGGCTCTCAGTAGCCGAAGCTGCTGGCTCCCCAGAGCCTCAGGGACCGTATCCCTATTTGCCCCAAGGTCATAGCTCCTAACCTAGCTTGCCAGTCCCGGGCCGGGGACACCAGGGAGTAAGCCCGCGGGGCTGGAGACCCCGGCGCGGGTGGGGCCAATAGGGTGGGGCGGGAGGGCTCTGAGGCCAGGGATGCGAGGACAATGCGGACGACGGATGAAAGGCACCAGGGGCCCGGGGCCCGAGCAGTCAGCGCGGCCGCCAGACTCCGCGCCCAGGAGGGGGATGGGGTGCTCCTAGACGCTTGCCGGCCCCAGTCCCACCCAGGAGCCCGGGAGCCGCCGCCGCCGCCGCCGCCACCACGCGCGCCGAGCGGTTGGAGCCTCGTCGCCAGCCCAGGGACTTGCGGCCCGGACCGCGGGGCCGAGGGGAGCCGGGGGGCGGGAGAGGAGGTCCCGAGCCCAGCGGAGCGCCCGCCCGAGAGGGCGTTCTCCCCGCCCCCGGTGCCTCGCCCGCCTGACCCTCCCCAAGCCCTGGGAGATCACCTCCGCCCGTCACCTCCTCCTCCCCTCATCCAGGTCCACCCGGGGCTCCCTCCCCCGGGCCGCCCCCGAACACGAAGTTGGCGGGAGCCTATAAAAGCCGGTGACGGCGCGACCCGCGGACACACGGTGCAGGCGCCCGAGCCGCCGCCGCTAGAACGGCGCCAACTCCTGCCCTGCCTCGACCAGCGGCGCGACCATGGCCCACCACTGGGGATACGGCAAGCACAACGGTGAGTGCAGTGCAGGCGGAGGGCGGCGCGGCGGCGGCGCCCCGGGCCCCGGTCTCGGCCCCGGCCCCGCGACGCCCGCACCTGCCGTTGACCGCGGCGAGTCGAGGCACCCGAGACAAGGTGGGCGCCCGAGCCTGCGCCGCCCGCCGCTCCCCGGCCCTGGGATGCCCCCGTTGCCCCAGCCCCCGAGGCCACTGTCGAGGAATCCCCGCATCCAGCGGAGGCGCGCAGGGCCCGAGGGAGGAGGAGCGCAGCCTCAGCGTCGGGACTGGAGGACAGTTGCCCCGGGCCCCGAGCCGGAGACTACCCTGACCCGACCTAGGAGGAAGCGAGGAAGGCTTGTAACGGGAAAATTTTAGTTGTTGCTTGCAGAAGAATTAGGGGACCCCCTCCCCCCTACACACTTCATTCTCAGCACCACCTGTGGCTAAGGCGCTCAACACGAACTGTCCCGGGGCATTTTCGTGGGCTGGTTTGAATCCATTGCGGTGATTTCTGGGTTTCCCCATCATCTCTTATCTCCTCATGTTAGGGAGTCACCAGAAACCCGGCTTTATCATGGCTACCGATCTGGGTTCTCCAGAGCCAACCGACGCAAGAGGAAGATGCGTCTGGAGCACCTTGCGTGTCTGGGGGTGGCGTGGGGCTTCCCAGGTAGTGAGGATCCTGATGATTACAAGAGAGGTGCCTGGGCCTGAGCAGTGACTCGGCCTTTACATTCAGTAGGACACTAGGGAGAAATCCCAACCTGCTCTAATCTTAAATGAGCTTGAATATCCTAAATGTTACCCACAAGCCCTGACGGTAGTGTGTGCGCAATTTCAGTCGCTGAATTCAATAAAATGAGGGTAAACAAAGGTAATATTTATACGGCACTCAGTCTTTGTTCAATGACCTTTCATGTATTGATTCCCATTCTCACAACTTCTACGATACAGATGTTATTACCCCATAATACAAATGACGAAACTGAGGCACGAATTAAGGGCTTTGCCAGAGGTATTCAGCTAAGTGGTGCCACCAAAATTGGAACGGAGCAGATTGGCTCCAGAATCACTGCCCCTTTCTAGGTGCTGGGTGTGCCCTTCCCAACACTGGGGGATTCACAGGTCTCTTCTGAACGCTAGGACCCGAGAACTGGCATAAGGACTTCCCCATTGCCAAGGGAGAGCGCCAGTCCCCTGTTGACATTGACACCAAAGCAGCCCTTCATGACCCTGCCCTGAAGTCTCTGTGTCCTTCCTACGAGCAAGCGGTTTCTCGGAGGATCCTCAACAATGGTCACTCTTTCAATGTGGAATTTGATGATTCCCAGGACAAAGCAGGTCAGTGTTTAAAAAATAACTTGTGCCTTTTACCCAGTGACTATTTTCCCAGCTTAATGGGAGGAATCAGGAGCAGTGGCTTAGTACTGTTTATCTCAGTACTCTAAGATGCAACTTTGCTAATCTTCATTAGGTCCCAGGCTCTGAGAAGTAGGCTAATTATTTTGAAGTGGCCTGGGACTGTTGCTCCCCTATAAAATTCCTGGTTTCTATATAGGGCATTGAATAACTGTGACCTGCTCGTGAAAAGTCACAGAAATCAAGGTCGCCAGGAAGTGAAGATCAGCAAGGATGAGATTTGCAAAAACTGAACTTTTAAGATTCTTTCTAAAATATTTGCTTTCCGGAATTGGTCTTATCCAATAAAAGTACACCTTAGTGCTCTCTTCAAGGCAGCAGTGAGGGGAGTGATGAAAACCTCACTATTTAAAATAGTGAAATTTTTTGAAACATTACATTTATGGATACAAATGTGATAAGAGGTGGCAGTATATTTTGATATGCACCCGGAAATACATTCCACAAATGAAGATGTTTTAGAGTTGGTGGGCATTGGCCCACCTGGCTCATTGCTGACAAAACCAGTTATCGTAATTTATCTGTATTGGAGCTGTTTACAGGATGCCCATTGAAAGCTTCTTTTTTCTTATTTAGAAACAGGAGAACAATCCCATTCAGACATGGTAGCAGCTTTCTTTGCCCACTAGTTGGTTTAATTGCCAGTGCCCTATTTTCCTGAGTGCTTTCCTCTGAAGGTCGTTGCAAACACATGATGAGTGGTGTTGGTATGGGAGCGGGGAGAGCATGGGGCAAAAAGAGAACACAAACAGGGACGCATTCAATAATGCTGTCAAAATTTTGGAGTAATGACCGATAGTACTAATATATAATGTGTAATTATAACCACTATAGCCAAGTTGACCATTCTTATTTAGTAGCTATCCAATGTATTAGGTCCAGTTTGGAAAAAAATCCCTCCTCTCCCCTTTAAAAAAATTTTTTTTGACACTTGGATTTCTGAAACAGTGATTCTGGACGACAGTTTGATGGAGGATGATGTGGAGATCATCTAAGAAATGTTTTCAACCTACTGGTGCCCTGTGAGCACCTCCCCCCCAGCACACACACATGCACACACACATATTCTGGCATAGTATAATGACTAATTAGACTTTGATTAGATTTAGTAGAGGATGTTCACTGAAGACACTCCTGCAATCATTCTGCTACACTGTCTTCCCAAGTAAGCCTCCCACTCCAAAGAAACAATGCTCAAGTGATTAGGCTAAAGATAAGGGAAACAAATATCTTTCTTTCCTGTTAAGGATACTGTATATTTTGATTACAATAGGACAAGACCACAGGTCTTGGTGGTATTGTATGTATAGAAAGGATGCTATAAAATTTCACGTCTGGTTATTTAAAGACCAAAAAAGTGAGCTCTTTTAGTCTTTAGCTATCAACTTCTACAAAAAGAGATACAGTGAATGTATGTTTCAATGTTGCCAGTGAGATCATTGTTTTCAGTGAGTGTTATGTCCACCAGTTATATACCTCATTGGATGCTACATAGAAATTGAATACTTTTTTGGAACAATGAGGAAACAAATGTCTAACAAATAGAACCAGATGAGAAAATTCCCTATGTTCCTTACAAATCTGATCATGAAATAATTGTTCCAGTAGTATATTATTCCTGGAAATCAGATTTCAGCATTTAGTAAAGCAACTGTAAGCTTAGAATGGGGTCGGATAGTCAGGGATTAAGTTCCAGCCCTGCCACTAACTAGCTTAGTGGCCCTGGGAACAATAGCAACTTAATCTCTCTAATTTTTAACTTCCTTACCTGTAAAATTGGGGTAACAGTAATATTTACCACAGAGGAAGGATTAAATGGGAGAGATATAAAGCACCTAGCCCAGCACCTGGCACAGAATAACTCCACACTAAGTGACCATTACTGTTTCCATGTCTTCATATCATTTGACTGCTTTTATTAAGCAATTGCCCTAGCGATTGCACCTGTGATAAGATTTCTGAAGAAAGTTTCTAATGAGCTGTGAGATTACCTGCCATCCCTTGATGGGATTTAAAAATTTTATTTTTATATGTTCCTGAACATCTCATTTATCATATTAAAGTGTGTACTGATGTTATATGTGATGTTATTATATAGTTATGTTTTAGCATGAATATATCAAGTTCTGATGGATTTCTACACAAGCAGTAACTGATTAGAGCTAGCCACACTTTTCTAACTACTTCTCCTGGTGAGTAACACATATCTCATTAAAGCCATGTTTAGATTGTGAAAAAAGTGGTTCCAAGTGGAGTCTCAAACCCATGTCTTTAAAGACACATGTGTTATTCACTCAGTTCTTATAAAACAACAACAACCACAAGAAAACCCTTCCTAACACCAATTAAATGCAAGGTCAGCTAGGTACCATGAAGGCAGGATAGAGACCTGGTCTCTTTCCTGTGTCCCTACAACTCGTGCTGGGGAAACATCCAGTAGAAAGACACAGGAATTACAGATGAAGACAGTGACTTTTGGCCACAAAGACATACATTGTTCCATTCCAAGGAACAATGGAAACCTGAAAGAGACTTAGGAGTCGTCCTGTGTAAGTCAGCAAAGACTTTCCAGGGTCAATAAAACTTGTGCTGAGGCTTGAAGGATTTTGGTGTCTTGGAGGAGACTCGAGGCAAAGAGAAGTAGGAAAGACCCGGGGATTTGAGAGAGTGCAGTATTTACTCTGTCAAACAAGGAAGAGTTAATGTTGGAATGACCTGCTGTCTTTTATGTAAGAAAGATCCCTTTGTAACTTTGCCCAAACCTCTTCAACATTGTCAGTTGTTTTGGTTAAACAAGGAAGCATTTTTTTTTCCTAGGATGCAGACTATATTAAAATGTTGGCATTAAGGAAAAACCCATCTATAGAATAAAACAATCATACCATGCAGAGAAACACCCTTTAGACTTTTTTTTAAAAGAATCCTAGACTCTCAGATTAAAACAAATGATGGAGATACTCCAGTCAAATTCATTTAAAATAAACATGAGGAAACAGAATGCTAAGGAGTTTAAATAACTTGCTAGTCATCTCCTTTCTGGTTTGTCGCTGTGAGACTCAATGCCCGTCACTTAAAAATAGAAGTTGAATGAGGATCTTTGAATGATAACCATAGTTAATATTTAATGTGTACATACCATGTTTTTAAAAATTGATATGCTTTTCTATACACTTAAGTCTAAAAATAGCTTTTTCACTTTGGTCACTCGATATTTTAAATCAACAACTTAACATCTCCTTTTTTAGGAGTTATTCTTGTGGCATTAACATTTTTAGATATCTGTTATGTCTTGTTTTATACACTTAAGTGCTTCAGTTCATTTTATTGATTTATTGACTTTTATTTCAGTGAGATTTCAGCCTTCTAGGACTTCTCAAAGATTTAAGTTTTCAAATATATCCTAAATATTATCTTAGACTAGAACTTGAGTACTAAGGTATCAGGAACTGAGCTGGTTGAGTTTATTAGTATATGTACGCTTGAGAGAATTCTTTTTAAGTGCGGAGTTAATAAAAAAAAAATGTGGGGGTAATAGACTTTAACTGGAAGCTCTCATCAATCTTCTAAATTCCTTTAAAAATAAACCACCTTTAAATAATGAAAAATTGCTAATCCTGCTAGGTTTTCAAAAAAATTATTAAAAAATAACTCTGCTTGAGTTCCTTTATTACTAGCTTTATCTGGGAGAAAAGAATACTAGTCAAATTATTAACTTCTGCTAACTCATTAACTTTTAATGAATTTAAAACTCTCCTGCTTTATTGCAATCTTAGAGGCAAATATTGAAAAACCAATGCCCGAAATTATTGAGCCCATCCATATACAACTCTCATATCATTTCTGTTCTTTAGAAATGGAAATATTTTTATCTGTTTATATTATTTCAAGAAAAAAAGGAAGGAAACAGACAGTTTACCTATGCTCATTTCAAGCAGACCACTGCCTGTATGACATAATAGAACTTCATACATGAGTCTTGCTTGATTTTCAAGGACTTGCTTTTGAAACTTTAAAATTATCCTTCCATGAATAATTTTCAGTTAAAAGGAAACATAATAGCAGCAAGTGAAAGGGTTTGCTGTGCATACTGTTAATGGTGTAAGCAGAAACCTAAGTATTTATAAAACTGACCAAAGCATTCGAAATACTGTATTTAATTATGTTCATGTCAAAAGAGTTTCTTTTTTCTTTTTTTTACTCTCATATAATTTCCATATACCTGAAACTAAAAACTTCTGTTCTCTTGATTTTTAATTGTTGTTTACCCTAGTGAAAGTGACAGCTAAACATTTCACTATTTAAAAGAAATGGATTATGGACATCTTTTCCTCATTCATTTTCTTGATTTCAGTACGTCAACCCTAGGATTATTGGCTACTGCTAAAAAAGCAAAACAGCAATGCATGATTTAATAATTTTCAACTTATTCATAAAAGAAGATTGTTTACCTGCTGAAAAATGCCACATTTTTAGTAGACTTAGTCCTTTACTTCATTAATAAGAAATCCCTTCGATTTGAATTTTAAACTGAAGATTATTGGAAATGGCTTATTTGTATTTTGGATTTAAGAGAAATATTTGATATTCGTTAAGGTCTTTAGTTTGTTATTTGGATACATCTTATGTTAAGTAATAATAAAGTGATTAGGAAGAAAAAGTTAAATTTTCAGTTTTTAATTTGTGTAGATAGTCTTATTGGAGTGAATGTCTTAATTTTCACAATTAATATAATTTACATAATTTCCCTAAGTAATATGTATAGGAAGACAGATTATAATATAGTTAGTGCTTATTCTGTGTGTTACGTATGCAGTACGTATAACTGATGGCAGACCATCGAAATTAAAATTAGCTGGAGCTCTTGGTGTTGAGATTTGGATTTAAATTAAGTTTCAGGAATCTTGAAAAAGATATCCTGGTAGAAAACCCCATTTGTATCTCTCTATCCCTGTGGAACACATCTCTGTGATACAATAATCATTGACTCTTCAGAGCCCCCACTAGCAGGGCTGGATTTTAAAGAGGAAACATATACTCAGTCTGCAGATTCTGCTATTTTTTCAAATTATTTTTGCATCAGAAAAACAGACTTCATTTTAAACTGGGACAGTTTGGAAATGGCATGTAGCCATCCAAATAAGTAAATAAGTAGTTCTGCAAAAAGTGCAAGCTCCCTTTCTTTTTTTTTTTTTTAAAGATTTTATTTATTTATTTGAGACAGAGAGAATGAGAGACAGAGAGCATGAGAGGGAGGAGGGTCAGAGGGAGAAGCAGACTCCCTGCCGAGCAGGGAGCCCGATGCGGGACTCGATCCCGGGACTCCAGGATCGTGACCTGAGCCAAAGGCAGTCGCTTAACCAACTGAGCCACCCAGGCGCCCAAGCTCCCTATCTTTCAACCAAATGTTTTTTTTTTATTTTGCAAATAAAAAAATATATGCTACCTTTATTAGAGTTTGTAGTGATTATTATAACAATGTTTTTGGGAGGACTTCATTGACTAAACTCCATGCTAAGACTTTGAGAAATAACTAACTAGCTGAAGAAGAGGAGAAATGCTTCTTTTTGTAGCAACTTAATTTTAAGAATTTAATAACCTCTCCTAGGTATGATGGGCTTCTAATCTACCTAGAGACATAGTTTTATTTTAACAGGAGCTAAAACAGGTGTCTGGTAATAATAGATTGGCACTGAGTGAGTTTAATCATTGAACCTAGAGCATTTTTTAAATATTAGCAAAGCTTATTTAATAAAAACTCATATACATTCTTGCCTAATTCTAAATGTTCTCTGAAATAAGTAAATTAGGCTGGAATCTTAAGATCTGTAAGGGAGTGAATAAGAATAGGAAACAGCAGATAAGCTTTATTATTTTTAAAATTTAAGATTCTGATATGATTCTTCAAAAGGGAAAGGAGATACATTTAGAAAGGTAAGTTATATCTTGGATGCTTAATATGGTGTTATTTCATTTATTTTGCCACTTGGTAGAATTAATGATGTTACAGAGGATATTTGCTTTTGGGGATCAGCCAATTAGTAGCTTTAAAGTTATTATAAAGGAATTATTTCAGTACCAATTTATTTCATAAATATATATTTTGTTTTGAGGGTATATCATCATGAAAACTGGGAATTCTCTCGTTTTTGAAAAAGCCTAGAGGAGGGACGCCTGGGTGGCTCAGTCGGTTAAGCAGCTGCCTTCGGCCCGGGTCATGATCCCAGGGTCCTGGGATCGAGTCCCACATCGGGCTCCTTGCTCAGCAGGGAGCCTTCTTCTCCCTCTCTCTCCCTCTGCTTGTGCTCTCTCTGTCAAATAAATAAAATCTTAAAAAAAAAAAAAAAAGAAAAAAGAAAAAGCCTAGAGGAGGAGGCAAATAAGGCTAATTCTTTCCTTACAGAATAATTAGATTAAAAGAAACTTACAATAATTTGTTTTTAAGTTTCAAAAGATGTGATCTTATCAGAATATATCCAAATTGATGTTTCTTAACCAGATCTATAATATAACACCACTTATAATTGGTTCTTTTTCTTTTTTTTATTCCTTCTTTTTTTCCCTGGCCTATTGTAAGGAAGAGATGGCAACCAGAGATTGTATTAAGAGCCGTAAGAAAGGCCTAAATGTCTCCCAGCCAGCTCTATTTTTCACTTTGGGTAGATGAATGGGTATTGCTACCATCTATGCATATTTGGGTGAAGTTAAGCAAACTTGACTGTATAGACTTCATCGCTTTGTTTTGCAAAGCCAAAGTAAGTTTAGGTTCATTATTTTATAGAATTATAACCCAAAGCTAATAAAATACACTTATAACAACAGATTGTAGAACTAAATTTTAAAATCTTTTAAATATATTGGTAAAATTTCATTAATACATATAACTTAAATAACAAGTTTTATGGGGAGGATGGGAGAAACTGATTTCATACTATTTTAATTCTCTGTAACACACAACTCATTAATTATCTGTAAATGGACTGTGGTCTAAGAAGATGACAACTAGTCATATTCTTCTGTCTTGTGTTTTACTCTAACAAAGTCCTATTAATACCAGAATAATAGAATCTTAAGACAGTTACTAAAGTTAGAATTTTAAGATTTTGGAGACAATAGAATACTGCATATATTAGATGATCAACAAATTCTTAGTGAAGTAATAAACAATTGAACATAGCCACTTTACAGATGAGGAAATTAGGGTCAGAAATACTCAATAAAAAATTTACTGGGAGGGGCGCCTGGGCGGCTCAGTTGGTTAGGCACCTGACTTTTGATTTTGGCTCAGGTCATGACCTCAGGGTCCGGGGATCGAGCCAGCATCAGGCTCCAAGGGACCCTGCTTGAGATTCTCTCTCCCTCTTCCTCGGCCTCTGCCCCTCCCCCTACTTGTGCATCAGCTCTCTCTCTCAAAAAAATAAATAAATCTTTAAAAAAATTTTTTTAATGGGACAAAACTAGTTAGTACCAGTGACAAGCCAAATTCTGAAGAATTTGGAAAGCCAGGGCAAGGAGAATTGGGTATTCTACTAAGATCAATGGAATGCTTACGGTTTCACAAATTCTGTCGCCTAAGAACAGGCCTCAGAGGTTAGCAAAGCAGGTGGTAGGACAGCTGCCAGGCCGTGTAGAGCAGAGGTTCCCACGTTTGTCAGCGTGTGCCACGGAACCGCACTGGCAAGCAGCCACACGGGCCCTTCCTCAGTGGTTCACAGGGGACTTAATCATTCCACCTAAAACTTCCTGTCTCTGAACTAGCACCTATGACTCCAAACCAAACCCAGAAGAGAAGTACCACTGTGCTCAGAAAACAGATGGGAAAAGCACCCATCCTTCCAGCCAACACAAGTGAGGAGAAAAGCCAGCTGAAATGATTTTGTTCAGCACTGAGACTAAACTTGAGTCTGGATTTAATTTTCACAGAGCGAAAATGTTGCTACAAGCATAAATTTAGAACTCTGAAACAGGATTAAATTAGATGGTAATATTTGGTACTGTGTGTGTTTCATGTGCATATGTATGTGTATGTGTGTACAAACGTGATTATGTGTATGTATATACATTCATATGCATATATACACTCATACACACATATGCACATGTATAATATACATATACATATATTATATATATATATTTTTTAATTTTAGTGCTGAAAGGAGGACCCCTCACTGGCACTTACAGATTGATTCAGTTTCACTTTCACTGGGGTTCATCCGATGGGCAAGGTTCTGAGCATACTGTGGATAAAAAGAAATATGCTGCAGAGGTAAGATATGCTTTTTTGCTTTCCAGGGAAAGATATAAGTTGATATTTAGCATTAATTTCAAAACCTTAATTTTGTAAATTTGACTCAATCTAAGTGAACCATTTTTTTTACAAAGGACCTTCACATTTGCTTCTTATAGCTTTTATTTGTGATATTACAATTAATAGTGCAAAACATTCCCTATTACTTCCAAGGACATCATTTGCAAAAAGTAAAATGAATTCAAATTGGAGGATCCTGTTTTAATATAAATCTAGAAATAAACTTTGTGTCTTCCCGCAAGAATATGTAACTCTTTGTCTTAGAGTTGATGAAGTCACCTGCTATTATGCCAAATAGTGGATAATTAGAATTAAAATGAAATAAAAGTTTATATTTTAAATTATCCACACATTCACTTTCTTTAGTAACCTCTAGCTATGAAGAAAAGATCACTGGACAAAATCTGTAGGATTTATTATGTGTCTCATTCATTGTGGTTTTGTCTCCTACTTCTTTAGCTTCACTTGGTTCATTGGAACACCAAATATGGGGATTTTGGAAAAGCTGTGCAGCAACCTGATGGACTTGCTGTTTTAGGTATTTTTTTGAAGGTTAGTTGATGGCCCAAATTCTTTTTTTCCCTGTTTTTGAGAAAGATTAACCAAACAGAACATTCATAATAGACAGGACATCCTACAAAGAGCCGAGGAAATGCCTTTGGCTCCAAAATATTTTCAGGCTTCTGTCCCCCTCCATATCTGCTAGATTGAGGAGATGGAGGACAAAGAAACAATCTGAGAGGTATTCATTAGGTGTTATTTATATGTAAATGTGAAGGGTGTATACATGGGAAATGTGAAAGGAAGAAGAGGTATACTTCAGATGACTACTGGTTTTTGTTTTAAAATTCATCCTTAACTGGATAGTACTGTTCCGTGATAGACTGCTAAATTAAGATCAAGTTTTGGAGGGCTCAGAGGCAGTGACTCAATATTGGAGAATTTCAGGCAACAGTGGGACATACAGGTTGAGCTGCCCTCCAGACAGTTGTAAAGCAAGTGAAGAAAGGCTGGAGATTCATGGGGCCTGACGTCAAATGTCAAGGTGGGAGCTACACGTGAATATGAAATCATCCAAGGAAAGCATGAAGAGGGAGATGATAAAGCTGCTGAGCATGCAGTCCTGAGAAACTGCAAAATGTAAGACATTTAAGACAGTGGTAAAGGTGTTCATAATGAAAAGACTAAAAAGGAATACAAGAGTTAAGGGAGAGTGCCGAGGCTGGAGGGCAGAAGGAAAGCCAAAGGAGGAGAGAATTTCAAAAAGGAGAGAAGTCAGTAGTGTAAAGTCCTGCAAGATTAAGGTAAGCACTTGAACAGTGTTCTTTGTTTTGGCAGTTGGAGGTCAGATGGAGGTCACTGGTGATTTTGAGGGGGTAGATCAGGGGAACCATGGGGTGGGGTCAGGGGGTGGGCAGGACTGGGAAGGAAGTTCTCAGTGAAAGTGGGGAAGTTTATGGTGCCAATGTAATCAGAGTAAGATGGCTGGCTGGGTGGCAGATAGCAAGTGGGAGACTTTGGTGCACTACTTGGAAACATTTTATGGTAGAGCTGCTCAAATCAAAACTGATGTAGTACCAACCGGATTACAGTACCTTGTATGTTGTGTCTTCCTATAGATTGGTGATGCCAGACCAGGCCTACAAAAAGTCCTCGATGCACTGGATTCTATAAAAACAAAGGTACAGTTGAATTTTTTGCCACCTCAGTAGAGTACCTATTTTTTTTTTTATCCTACTGGTTTTAGGAAATTTTTTGGATCAAAATGAATAGTCTTGGTTTGACATGTGATGTTTCGATGAGGAGTTAATAGAAGTAAGATGTTGCTTATATATTCATTTAACTTTTCTATATCCAAAAGTTGATCCTAATGCTAGTATAATTTTAAGACTTACATTTATTTAATCTTGCTTCCCCATCATTTGAACATTCATATTATAAGAGTCAAAGAATTCTCATAACTGCAAGGAAACTGAAAGATCATCTGGTCAAATTATTCACTCATTCATGCAACAGATATTTGTTGAGTACTTACTCTGTGCCAGTCACTTTGTTAACGTAGGAGATGCAATGGTGAGCATGAAGAATAATCCATCCCCATGTTTAAATTCTCTCTACGGCAGACCCACGTTTAGGTCATTGAACATCTGCTAAATACAATCACCAAAGGCAGCCCTGGCTTTATAATGCTCATTCTCAAACTGAAGTCACATTTATCTTCTGAAAGTCTCACTCATTACTCCTAGCTGACCCCTTTGAATCATGTGGAATAAACCTGATTCAAAAACACTAATTTAAAAAGATGTGTTCATTGCAGCATTATTTACAATAGTCGAGATACAGAAATAGTCTAACTGTCCAAAAATGGATGAATGGATAAAGAAATGTGCTATATATATATATATATATATATATATATATACACACATATATATGTACAATGGAATATTGTCCAGTCATAAAAAAGAAGGAAGTCTTGCCATTTATGACAATGTGGATGGATCTTGAGGGCATTAGGATAAATGACATAAGTCAGACTTAAAAAGACAAATACCATATGATCTCACTTATTTGTGGAATCTAAAAAACAGACAACAAAAACAAAAACACAAAAAAGTGAGCTCCTAGATGCAGAAAACAGATTGGTGGTTATCAGAGGTGGGGCGGGGGGAGTTGGCTGAGGGGGATCAAAAGGTACAAGCTTCCAGTTATAAAATAAATAAATCAGGCACCTGGGTGGCTCAGTAAGTTAAGCTTCTGCCTTCGGCTCAGGTCATGATCCTGGAGTCCTGGGATCGAGTCCCACATTGGGCTCCCTGCTCTGCAGGGAGTCTGCTTCCCCTTCTGACCCTACCCCCTCTCGTGCTTTCTCTCTCTCACTCTCTTTAAATAAATAAATAAAATCTTTAAAAATAATAATAATAAATAAATAAGTCATGGGGATATAATGTACAGCATGGTGACTATTAATAATATTGCATTGTATATTTGAAAGTTGCTATGAGTAGATTTTCAAAGTTCTCATCATAAGAGAAAAAATATTAGTAACTAGGCATGGTAACAGATGGTTACGTGTTAACAAGTACACTTATTGTGGTGATCATTTTGCAATATATGCAAATATCAAATCACTATGTTGGGCGCCTGAAGGTAATATAATATTATGTGTTAATTATACCTCAGTAAAACAAAACAAAGTAAAAAATGTGATCCCTCTTTCTTTTGACCCCATTCTCTAACAGCATTTTACGTACCCTCAGACTAGTTATCTTTAGTGCCCTTTAACTATTCCCATACAACAATTTTCTTTCTTTGTAACAACCTCGTCCCTCTACTTGTAACTCTTACTGTTTGCATCTATGGCTTTAAAAGTGTGGTGTCCAGAAAGGAAGGTGGTTCTTTAGTCCTGACCGAGTCATCAGATAGAATAGCAAGACAATTACCTCCTCATTAAAGATACTATATTTTTGTTACTGTGGCCTAAAACTGCATTATTTCAGAGGCAGCAGTTTCATTTTAAATACTGGATCCCGATCAGTTAGTAACAGTGGAAATGATAAGGGATGATTTGAGAGGACAAGATGAGAATTTGACATGTGAAAATTATAGTCAGGCTCTCTCACCCAAACCTGCTCATCTATATTTCCAAGTCAAATATCTCTGTTAATTTCTTTTTTACTTTGTTTCCTGATAAACATGGAACCTCTGTTTAAAAGAAAGAAAAAAAGTTCTAGCAACCAAAGAGGAAATATGTCTTTCCCACTCCCCTGCCTTCCTCCCGCTCTGATCACGTGGCATTTGTAACGCGTGTGTTTGCCTTGTTCCAGGGTAAGAGTGCTGACTTCACTAACTTTGACCCTAGTGGCCTCCTTCCTGAAAGTTTGGACTACTGGACCTACCTAGGCTCACTGACCACTCCTCCCCTTCTGGAATGCGTGACCTGGATTGTGCTCAAGGAGCCCATCAGTGTTAGCAGTGAGCAGGTCGGTTTTCTAAAGTGAGGTAGAGCATTTCTCCAGGCAGTGGAGCTTGGCTTTTGGATTCGCACAGACCCGGGGTTGAACCCTCCTCCTGCAGCTTCTAGCTGTGGAACTAGCGTCCATAACAGTGCTGAGCAGATAAGTAGCATTCAAGAAATACTTGCGGTGATTAGCTGTAACTTTAGGCAGTTTGTTTGCTCTGTAAAGGAACAAGTAATCATGAGGATTAAGTGAGATAGGTGTCTGTCACCTAATAAATGCTTTTATGTAACCTACAAGGAAACTGAGGCCCAGGACAATGAGATTTCACATTCAAGGTTACATAAATATCAGTGGTAACTCACAGCCAAAGGCTCACTCACATGAGAACTTGTGGCAGTTTTATTTCTATCAGAATACATTTCTGAGTTCTGACAAAAGTAAAAGCCATCCCTTGGAGAAAAAGTATCATCAAAACTCACTCCAAATCGCTTTAACAGCCCAGACCACAGACCCTTACCTTTCCCATACAATACAGTTTATGAGTTCAAGTTATTAATGCTCACTGTCAGTGACTGAGAAGCTGCCACCGACTGTCTCTATTCCCCCCACAATTGAAATGTAGAAAATGGACAGTCCTCAGTAGGATCCACAAGAACTTGGATCCCGGATAATTCAACTAATGTTACAGTAGCTGACTGACATTGGAATTGACTTTGAGGGTTGAGACTGAGGGAATATTACTGGACCAAAGAGATCATTAAAGGCTATTGATTTGTGGGTTGCTTTATTACTGCCCAAACCACCCTTCTTCATTTAGATCAAGATTTTCGAAGGGAAAGGGAAGGACCACTTTGCAAAAAGAACCTCAAAGAAGTAGGAGACTGACTGAGGACTGTCTGTGTCACATCATTGGGCCAGAGAACTAAAACGAGATTAAAAGGGAATAAAATCAGCCAATGTCAAGGATTTGAAATCCCAGTTTGGGCAGATTCATTTATGTGTTTCTACACATTGAAGCAGAGATGCCCTCCAATCCCTTATCCCTTAGTGGATCTGGGACCACTTTATCCAATAGTATAGACACAGTAGTTTATCTTCCTGGGGCAGAAAACAAAACTCGATAATTTGGATCTAAAATTTTTATTATTATTTTATATCTCAGAAGCATTTCATAGGCTTTTGATGTTTGATTTTAAAATTAAAAGAGGGAAAAAAACAAGTTCACTGACAATTTCCTTCCAATGACACCAACAATCTTGTGTGTATTTTCCAGAAATTGATTTGTTATCTAAAAGCATACACACATAGGGGCGCCTGGGTGGCTCAGATGGTTAAGCGTCTGCCTTCGGCTCAGGTCATGATCCCAGGGTCCTGGGATCGAGTGCTGCATCGGGCTCCCTGCTCCGTGGGAAGCCTGCTTCTCCCTCTGCCTCTCTCTCTCTCTTTGACTCTAATGAATAAATAAATAAAACATTAAAAAAAATAAAAAATAAATAAAAGCATACATATATAATGTTTATGTGATTGTATATTTCTTGGGAACCAAAGTGAACTTTGAACATTGATACATACATAGTATGGTGAATATTGGTGAATATTGGAGAATAAGCACATAAATGAATACTATTGGGAAACTTGTATTTTTTAATTTTTTAATCTTTTATTTTGCCTTTTAGATGCTGAAATTCCGTAGGCTTAATTTCAATAAGGAGGGCGAGCCTGAGGAACTGATGGTGGACAATTGGCGCCCGGCTCAGCCACTGCACAACAGACAGATTAAAGCATCCTTCAAATAAGATGGCCCCAGAGCCCACGGCCCAAGAGTGGATCTTTGGGCTTCCCCTTAGCTAAGCACAAATCTACCTTGGTGAATGGACCTTGGCTGCTTTGCATCTGGTTTTCTAGATCCTTTATCTCTCACCTGTTGTGCTTATTAGTAAAATGTGAAAAACTTGACCAGTTGTCGAGCTTGACCGAATTGCTGTGACTAGAGCTTTGCTTATGGTAATAGCCTTTCTGTACTAGAGAATATAATATAAGGAGTAGGCAAAAAAAACATCTTGACTTTGTTCGTAGCACATGGGGTGATGAGCACTGACAGTTGTTCACAAAAATGCTAACTTTAAAACATAGGAAAGTAGGATGATTGAGTGCAAATCCATGCCATGAGATAAATTGAGCTCTGTAATGTAAATCAGGTGAAATAGTCATGATTCTATGTAATGTAAATCAGATGAAATAAATGTTCATGATTCTGAGATGTTATATTAAAGAAAAAAATTTTAAATTCTTATATATTTGTAGCAATGTTATCTTGAAAATGAATTATGTTGTAATTTAGTGTCTTTCGAATTACAGAGATGTATATGAAGTATTATCTGTAAAAATTGTTATAGTTGTGATACAGAGTATATTTCCATTCCAATAATATATAACTTAATAAATATTGTATTTTAGATATATTCTTTAATAAAATTTAGACTTTTATTTTGGCTTATTTTATTCTATGCTGGGCATTGGGTAATAATGGAAGAGCAAAATGTGTACTTTTATAACTCCTATTAATTCATTATTAATAATAAGCCATCATAATTGGGGACTCATAATTGTAGGAGTTTCCATAAAAGGAAAAACCTTGAAGGTCATGTACTATTTGCCAAGAGCTGTTTTAAGTGCTTTCTGAGCACTCACTCATGTGACCTTCATGAGAACCCTACAAGAATGAATCCTGCAAGGGAGAGAGGAACTGGTTAGACTAAAAGAAGCAAGGTAGAGAAAGGTGTACATGCGGAATCAATATATACTCCTTGGAAATAGAACAAATAAAAGTCCATTTTGTTTAAAGAAGGGAATTCAAGTGGTACCCACAAGTAAAAGAATAATTTGAGTCTTAGAAAGGTAAATTATACCCTTTACAGATAGGAAGAAAAAAGAATCCATGAAATCAATATCTCCCACTATTATGACTGTTCTGGATTTAGCTGTGTGCCTAGACCATAGAATGAATTTTTGGCTGATGAGTTATTCTGGAAAGCCAAGTTTAACACATAACTCAAGTTCTACCCTTAAGAAAAAATAAAACCTCTTTGTTACTTGAGATTAAAAAAAAAAAGGTCTCTAAACTCAAGGTGGCTCAGTCGGTTAAATGTCTGACTTTTGATTTTGGTTCAGGTCATAATCTCAGGGTCATGAGACTGAGTCCTGCATCGGGCTCTGTGCTGAATGTGGAGACTGCTTATAAGATTCTCTCTCCCTCTGCTCTACTCACTTTATCTCTCTCTCTCTCAAAAAAAAAAAAAGTCTCTTAAACTCATTTACACCCCTCACTTGCTTTATTAAAGAACTATGCTGAGTTTTGCGTAAGAGAAAGATCACAAGCTTTGGAGCTTGATTTGTTTTGAATCCCAGCTCTTCTCAACCTCTCTGATCCTAGCTATAAAAAGAGGATAACAACGGGGTACCTGGGTGGCTCAGTCGTTGGGCGTCTGCCTTTGGCTAGGGTCATGATCCCGGGGTCCTGGGATAGAGCCCCGAATAGGGCTCCCTGCGCAGCGGGAAGTCTGCTTCCCCTCTCACACTCCCCCCGACGTGTTCCCCCCCCCCTCTCTGTCAAATAAATAAATAAATAAATAAAATCTTAAAAAAAAAAAAGAGGATAACACCGAGGATTGTGATAATTATATGAGGTAATGTCTGGTGTATTGGAGATGGTCAAAATACTTTTTAAACTTTGTGTGTGTGTGTTATTCTGTTAACTGTACCATCAATTTTTCTTAGTTTCCTGGAATGAGGCTTCTCCTCTGATTCACTTTTTTTTTTTAAGATTTATTTATTTATTTATTTGAGAGAGAGAATGAGATAGAGAGCATGAGAGGGGGGAGGGTCAGAGAGAGAGGCAGACTCCCTGCTGAGCAGGGAGCCCGACGTGGGACTTGATCCCGGGACCCCAGGATCATGACCTGAGCCGAAGGCAGTCGCTTAACCAACTGAGCCACCCAGGCGCCCCCTCTGATTCACTTTTTATTATCTTGGGTATGGAACCCATATAACCAACCTTGACTAGAATTGTTTGTAAACTAAAAGTAAACCTACTTCAGGTGAATTGCTGAGGATCTCTTCTAAACATAAAACGAAGAGTTGAATTTGTGCATATTTTTACATATTGGCTTTCAGTTATATACTGAACCAGAAATTTATCAACAACTGAGTTCTATATATAGATGAATTATTATGTGCTTGGCACATAACAGATGATCTCCAAATACTGCAATGAAAACATTTATTTCACTCTTATAAAATTAATTTTAACCAGGAGATACTATTTTCTGAGTTTTTTGAGAAAGTTTTTGTCATATTTGTAATGTGCCACAAACTACTCTAATTTATATAAGTGCTTTTCAAATGTTCCATCAAAATATTCCTTGAAGCAGAGAAGTATAGTCTTAGTACTCAGGCACAGTTTGAAACAAACCATTGCTTCTTTAAAGTCTCATTTTTTTTTACTAAATGTTTTCAAATTTTACATTCTACTCTATATTATAACCACATTCATCTTTATTATAAAATGTTTCAACTGGCTTATTATAACTGAAATTGGCACTCTGGGAATGTTTATCCTGCAACTTATTACTTCTGGTCATCAGGTGTACCTGCTGAGACCCTGGAAGTCCCAATTTGAGAAGTGTAACCTAATAATAAATATTGAGGATTTTGATTATGTTTGTTCTTCAAGGACAATCGTACCACCTTTAAATAAAGTGTGTACCACCTTAATGGATATCATAACTGGTATTAGCATGTTTAGAAAATGTATTTGAGGGACACCTGAGTGGCTCAGTCGGTTAAGCGTCTGCCTTCGGTTCAGGTCATGATCCCGGGGTCCTGGGGTTGGGCTCCTTGCTCAGCGGGGAGCCTGCTTCTCCCTCTCCCTCTGCTGTTCCCCCTGCTTGTGCTCTCTCTCTTTCTCTCTCTCTCTCTGACAAATAAATAAATAAAATCTTTTAAGAAATGTATTTGAATTCCTCTTTTGACTTTCACTGAAAGGGTCCCATGTCAGTTATTCACACTCAGTTAGAAGGGAGGGGGCATAAAGGATACTGTCGTAGGCAGAATGATGGCCTTCTGGAGACGCCTATATCCTTGTCCCTAGAATTTGGGACTACATTACCTTAGCTGGTAAAAGGGACTTTCCAGGTGTGATTCAGTTAAAGATCTTGAGATGAGGAGATTATCCTGTGGGTCCAAATTAATTACAAAGGTTCTTAGAAGAGGGAGGAAGAAGGTCAAAAGCAGAAGGAGATGGGACGACAGAAGCAGAGACCGGAGTGATGTGGCCACGAGCAAGGAATGCTTGCAGCTTCTAGAAAACCAGATTCCCCGCTGGAGCATCTAGAAAGAACCAGCCCCACTGACACCTTAATTTTAGGCTCACAAGACTCCTTTTGGACTTCTGACCTCTAGAAAGGTAGCATAATAAACCTGTATTATTTTAAACCCCAAAGTTTGTGGCTAATTTGTTACAGCAACAATGGGATAGTCATAGATATCCTGGGTTAACATGGGAAATCCACATGAGAATAAGCTGTGGGTAGCCAGAAGTTTACCGGCCCAGCCTCTGGGCCCTGGTTGTGATTATTCCCTTTGCCCAGAATGTCCTTTCTCTCCATCCCTAATTGTGAAATCTTAACCATTCCTGGATGCCAAGCTCGAATATCAGCTCTTACCACTGACCCCAACCTCTCATTTGGGAGAGTTTGTGCTTTTGTGGCTTCTGACATCCATGACCTCCTCGACTTGGTGCTATAATTGTGACGGGGGCCGTTTCCCTATTGGTCCTGGGAGCTCCTGGAAGGCAGCTTGTCTTTCACCCCAGGGCGCTGTGTATGTAGCTGGTGTTTGGTATGTGTGCATTGGGCGGCATTAGGAAAAGCCTTCTGAGGGGAGTAAACTTCGTCTTAGATCTGAAATAAGTGGAGTGGGTGAAGGGGGAAGAGAAACCTTGTTTCCTACATGCACTCCATGCTTCGTGGGCATAGACAATGTAGTTCTATTTACTGCGGTTCATCTCCTCTTCCCTAGGATCACTCTCATCTCTAATCCTACATGTAGTGGGGCAGGGTGGTTGAAAACTCAAACCTGTCACTAAACGTCATCTCAATATACTCTGGCTTAAGCAGGTTTTTTAGATTTTTTTTAAAGATTTTATTTATTTGAGTGAGAGAGAGACAGAGCATGAGTGGGGTGGAAGGAAGGGACAGAGGGAGAGGGAGAAGCAGACTCCCTGACTGAGCCACCCAGGCACCCCTAAGATTTCTTATCTCTACTCCCACCCCAGCCCACACAGATGATGCCTCGGTGACAGGTGAGCAGGCCTGGATGGGTAAGTTGTCCCCTAGATCCTTGTTGGCCTCTGCCATGGAGGGGCTGGCCTAGGCTGGCCCTGTACCAATCTGCATCTACTGACATGTTTCACTGGGTCTTTGGAGATGCCTCTAGCTGAACTGCTCCCTACCATTGCCTCGGGTTGCACAGTCCTGACCTCGCCTATTACACAGGAGGACACAGGGACAGCCTACCTCTTCTGATCCTAGCTCCTGGAGTTCTAGATTTCCCTCACCACCCAGATTTGGCCCTAAAAGACTGCATGTGTGGAGGGGGAAGGGAATGACAGCATCAGCACCTGACATCTTTGCTTCGGCTCCCCTCGACACTTTATGCTGCTCAGAAAAGGCAGCTGTCCCTTCTTCCTGTGTGACAGGAGCTTCCCTTATACTCCACTTCCTTCGGGAGGCCACGTGCTCTAGGGTCACAACAGCTGACAAACTGCCCAGAAAGGAAATTGGTTTCATGATAAGGGAAGGTCCATTGGAAAATATTTTTAAATTCCTATATACATTACACCTGGCAATAGGTCGCCCCTGAAGGCTTCAGAGGGTTTCTTTAGTCTGGTAAAATCTAATAGAAAGGAAGAAATTTAAATTGTGTTTCTTCCCCTTTTCTCCTCATCTTCTCTCTGCCCCTGATCCCTACCTTCATTACGAGGGAATATAGAGCTTAAATATGTAAAAAAAAAAAAAAAAAAAAAGTAGTATCATTACCTCTCATCTAATATTTTTACCAGTTTGGTGAAATGAACCAAAGAGAACCCTGAAGCCTCTGATACTGAAAAGTTCATGTTCCACAAAAAGAGAATTATTCAATTTCCTTTAGGATGGGTCAGGATGGGGCTTCTATGGGATTTGGGGGGAGAACCATACCATATTGGCTTGTAGACCACATCCAGCACCTCTGATGGAATTATATTCTGCAGAGCCTCATGATGGCCTCATTATCAAGGACTTGTTTTATAAGTAGAGATGCTTGGAAAAGGTTTAGGAACAAACTTTCAGCCCTCAGCTGACAGGGGCCTGCAGTTGCCTTAGGAGAGAGTGGGTCCAGTGCACACTGGGCCCCCTGCACACTCACCTTTATGGTGGCTGGAACCG